TTTTTTCTTCTGCTGTTTACTCCTTGATTGGATTTCCGAATTCTGTTTTATTTGCAAGTGACAATGTTACGTTAAGATTATAGCCACCAAGAAGACTAGAACTTCTTGGTTATAGCTCACAACCGATGCGCGCATGCGCAAACTTTGGGACGATGCTCAGTGAACTACGTAGCATCGCCCCCAACAGGGTGGGGACGATGCGCAGTGAGCTACTGAGCATCGTCCTCAACAGGGGTTGGAGGTAAGCAGCGGGTGACGCTTTTTGACTCACCCCCACCACGCGAGTTGACTCTCTTGGTTCTAGTCTTCTTGACTGCAGCTATAAAGGCCCGTCTACAATACACGGAGTAAAAAGTAAGAGTAAGAAATTGACCAATCACAGTCGATTATTCTTCTCACATTCGACTGTGATTGGTCAATTTCTTAATCTTACTTCTTACTCCGTGTATTGTAGACGGGCCTTAATACTGCTAAATAGCATGAATTAGCTTAAATATTAACCAACAGATTATAGTTTGCATGAATTTTATAGCTTTTAAGGGGATATAACAGAGTAAAGGCTTTTTTTGACAATTTTTTTAAAGTAACTATAAGTTTTAGAAAACATATCAATTGGTATATCAATTGGGCACACTTTGAAGACATTTTAAGAATTTTTATATGTCAAAATATAAATATATGACGATGTTGCACAGCATTTTAAGCCTATTCTACAATGTGCTTTTTGTTTCGTGTTTCTTGGTTTTTACTATTTTTTTACATCTTGTCGTTTTGCTTCTTATCCGGTTTTTTGTTTTATGTCGCCCGAGATAAAAGTTAACTTCGAAAGAAATAAGAAATACGTAGCAAGAAATACAATAAAACGTTTGCAAAGGAGAAAAAAGCTAAAGGTAAAAAACAAAAAACAGGAAACTAAGAGCATATTGTAGAATAAGCTTAAGATAATTCCGTGTTCAAAAAACATGGTCCATTGGCAGCGTAGAGAACTTAAGTTGTAATTATCCGAAATGAAAATTTTTTGAAAATTTCAAATCCATATGAGTGTAGTTTCAGTTAGGCATAGCGATTTTTTTAAATAATTTTTGTTACAAAATGGCAGCGGTTAAAAAAAATTTTAATTTCACTATATTTTTAACTTCTTAAACATTTCGCCCTCCAAAAATTGACAATTAAAAAAAAATCCCTACGCTTAACTGAAACTATTCGTTTTGTGAAGCTACTGTTCAAAGCTGAAAATTGTTCGAGTTATAATAGACGCCGCCAGTTGAAAAAAAAATAGTTTTGAGAAAAACATGTTTAAAGTTTCAGTATAGCATATTTAGCAATGTGCACCCGTTCCGTAAAACTCGTATAACTCGAGAAATACTTCGAATTTTATAAAAATCTTTCAGGAACATATTTTTAAGACATCAATTTTTCGAAAAAAATTTTTTTTCGATTTTTGGAAAATTTTACTTTGTTATACCTCTTTAACTTATCATTCTTTATATATTATTTTTCTTCATTAAAATTATTTAACTTTTTGTAATTGTATTTGAGTCTTATCATACATGTACAAATCTTACTTTAGCTGACTTACACTTAATTTTCATCAAAAGGTTTCTTCACAATTACTCTTTATAATTGTTCAGAATCCTAATTGTTTATAAAATTGATACTTTCGATTTTCAAAAAGTTCTTATTTATAATTTTTCATAAATTTTGCTTTTTATAACCATTCATAATTATAATAATTTATTTATACACTTTTTCAATACATTAACATTTTTCTAATGATGCCTGACTGAGCATCAAATTATTAAAAATTGCTTGTCAGTTTAATTTAATTTGTGATATCACAGTAGTTTATATAATTGCGTTTATAAGTCCGGAAAACCAATTCGGCGCGCAGTTCGAATGACTATAAATATGGTATATATGCATGTATATAGATATATAGCATATATATAATTAAAATTAAATTATTTAAGCATTAAAGATCCAGCTTGGACCGTTATAGACATGTAATTTCTAGTTCGTATTGGTTGTGTTCTCACATGTATGATCTAAAATAAGATTCTTATTGTTTATAATAACTTATAATTTTTCTCAATTAACGTTTTTTATAATACGACAAAGTATCTGAAAATAGCTTTTTTTTAAATTTTAACTGCAAATTTCTCAAAATTGTGATATAGTGGAGCAATTTGAAAACCGGATTCGTATTCGGCGTCCAAAAAACTACGGGAAATGATTTGTCTCGTTCTAATATTGGAAAAAAGGTTTTTTTTTGTTGAACATTATAATTTTCCTGGAGTTCCATGAAATTTCTCTTCTTCCTTTTTCATTCAACTCCTATCAATAATTCGTCGCGATTAAAGTAAGTTATAAATTGCAAAAATAATATATCTTCGGAGTAAAGTGCAGGTTTACCTTGGGTAATGTATATGTTTTATTTTTCCAACAAATTTTCACATAAATAATATAACAGCTTCTACTTCGCATATATATGAATGCGGAGCATTCAAGATTACAGAAAAACATAACATTTACATTTTCACATAATATAGAATACTATAATCTAATGTACATATGTGACATTTATCTCTATATGACTACCTTGAAACTTTTTGTTATTCAAAATCTAGACAAAAACATAACTACATTAAAAAAAAAACTTTTAACTTGTGAAAATAATCACATTTACATCATAATTTTGCCAACGATAGAATATCTTATTCAAAATAACATCTTTAGTTAAAAAAAAAACTTATTTTTGAAACGAGCACTAGTTATAAAGAAACAAGCATATCGATTGCAAAGATCAAAGTGGAGTTCTTCTATGTATATAAATAATAAATATCGATAGATAATGGAAAATGAACAGTATTTTACATATGCATCAAATATATAAATATATATAACATAATATATACTTCTTTATGACTTAAGTTTTGCTCTTCGAGCGAAGAGACAGTTTATCATTTGATGAAAAATCCGAAACAGTGTATGCATATAACGATAGAATACACACAGTATATCACACATCAGGTTGTGTCATCAAATAGTACAAATAAGAGATTTAACATTTTGCATATTGTATGCGGGATATATAAAATACACAACACAATTCTCCAAGTACATTCCAAATCATCCTCTCCGAGGAAGATTTTACTTGAAATACTACATATAACATGTATTATAGTATATAGAGAGGAAGATTTTGTTACATTTTGAAATGTAGCCCAAGAGATGTCCTAAGAATGTCCAGAGGATGATCTTAGAATATCCTAGGTCCTAGGTAGAGCTTTAGATTTACAAGATATGCACTAAAGGCCGCCATTTTTTATCTAATAACCATATCATATCAAAGAATTAATGAACTTACTTATTTATTACTTATTCATTGAATGATAAACTAAAAACTAGATTAAAAATAGCAGTTAAAATAGCCAATGGGAAGCTGTCGGCATTCGGCTCAAATCAAAAGATTGCTCTGGTATATCTAGAGCTCTAGTTCTAGGACATCCTATGGGGAGTTCTCAAGACATTATTCGGAGAACTGTGCCATGTCAATCCTTTTACTCATTTTCATCCACTTTTCCGTCGATTAAAACCACGATTTACCGTATTTTGTATACAGAATGACAAAAAGGATTGGCCACATAATTTTGCCCGTTTATTAAATCATTATAGTAAAAAATGTATATTATATATTAGTTACGTTTTACTAAATACCAATCAAATTCTACACCAAAACATTTTTATCAGTTGATTTACCAATCAAAAACCGCTCGCTATTGTCTTCCTGGAAGATTTTATCTGTGGAAAATGGATAAATTCTGATGGCAATGATCGCTGATTCTCAAAACGTCTTCAAACTTATATCAAAGTTAAAGATGGCTATTTTGCGTGTTATTATTTTGGTATTTAATAAGATATGACTAACACTCCAGAATTTTTTGTAAATATACGTTATACTAGTGATTTGATAAACACAAAAGAAGGATGCTCATTTTGACCTCCGGCTTACAAACTCTAATGGAAAATCAACATCCTCTTTTATAACCAAACTTTTTTGTCACTCGGTATAAATTACAATTTGCAAAATATCTCTCCGAAAGGAGGCACAGGAGATCAATGGCAATGTTGATTTCCTGAGTCTTTTGAGTCTAGTAATTTGTTTTTCGTATTCTAATGAGCTCGTTTAAATTTTGTTTTGTGCTCTCCTACAAAACTTTCCTTAACGGCAGTTTTATTTATTTCTTTCAAGTTGGAAGACCGTTCGGTTTTTACGTGTAGCAATCCTGGCTGTATCGCGCGTTCTTTTAATGCTCTGCCTCTTATCGCAAATATGCGGTACCTTTGGAGATCCCTTCGCGTTGACCTTCTCTGCGGCGCAAGATGGTTCCCCGATCTCGGGAAGAAGCTTGGATGTTCTTGTAGATGAGATGACTTTCAGTCTCTTTGCGCCCTGTCTCACCATCGCTGTTTCCTCGGAGGACACGCGCATTTTCACTGAGCTGTTCGTCGTCATTAGTTTTTTATTTGCAGAGTTTAAACGTGGTTCGAGAGTGTCGTTGATTGTTGATGCGATGTTAGATTTGCTCGACCGAAAGCGATCAATCGCCTTCAGGAACGGCTTTGCCTCTACTTCGGATTTGATTGCGCAAATTATCGCGCTGTTCTCTACATTGTTGGCGCAGTGATTCTTCAACGCACGACGCGTGAAAGTCTGCCGGGGTTTTTTACTACTCTTGATCCTCTTCACTACCGTGTAAAAAGAGGAACCGCGGCGAAGGATGCACTTCTTCACCAAGTTGCCCTCGCTCCTTATACCATTCCTCGCTCCTGTCATCGCGTCATTCAGTCTCGTTTCCAATTCCTTTAGGATGCCGCTGTTCCGCGCAATGGAACCTTCGTGATCCTGTAAATGAAAAGACATATAATTGTATATTGTAGACTTGGAAGATGTGCCTTACAAATCACAAAAATAAACGTGGTAATAACAAAAATAAATGCATGTATATATGTATGTGTGTGTGTGTGTGTGTGTGCGTGAGAGAGAGAGATTAATTTTATTCGACTATACTATTGCTATGATTGCAATTGTTTACGCGATTATTATATATAACGATTAATGCAAAAATAATGACTTACCCCCTTATGTCTAAGCACATCGAATAAATGCGACACGTGTTAAACACTTTTAAAAAGACGAAGCGTGCTAACATGTTTAAAAATTGTAAAGAAAATTATAAAGTAAGCAAAAGTAGCAGATTGTCTAACGCAACTAAAGCCATTTTGTCAAAAAGGGTTATCAAAAGGAATTATCATATTTCTATTTTAAAAAATCATATTTCGATATTTTAACGAACGAAAATATTTATTAACGTAGCGCATGCTGCAGTGCTGTGAATTATATTTTTTTATATGTACAGGATTCATTATCCACATGTTCACGCGATCAAAATTTACAGATGGTAAATCTCGATTTTGCAGAGTCGATTATCTTTTACGGTTCTAGTTTTATTACACGCACACTTCATTGCCTAATTTCGTTTGCTTACAGGTACAATGCGTGATTCATGCTAAATTATCTCGCATTCGTCGGGAATTGATTTTCAGGTCAGGAATATTAAATAAAAGTAAGATAAATAAATGGTGGCTAAAAAAATGTAACATTTATTAATACAGCTGATGAATATGCAAGCTTATGTGCGATACATTATGAAGTTTCTACATATACTTATATGCGTAATATAATATGAGCTGAATTTTGGAGCGATTTTTTCAAGTTTGTTGTCAAGATCAAGATTCATTATATCTTACTTCATGACTATTCAGATTACACACGTATTATACTCTTCATATATCATAATCTCCAATATCGATAAATTTATATACATGTATACATGTTTCGATAAATGTATATATGTTTACATTATCTCTCTATATATTGAATATCTATACTGGAATTATATATGCTGGGAAATAATAGTCATATACTCCAAATAATTTAAGAGATAAACTTTTGTAAACTTCTACGCGTTATATATATATATATATATATATATATATGTATAGAAGTAAACTTGAAATTGAATAACATTTTTAAGTTTGAATTAGCAAACTGCCATAATCTCACTTCAACAATTCCATTGTCCAGAGATATAACGGTTTAACGACTTATACTTCCACGACGTGCCCTTCGCTAAAGAAGATATACTTATGTACTGTCATCTATATAATATATTAATCTTGTTACACGCACTTGATAACTGCGTCTTTCTTTAGCTCTCAATCGCCCGACATTTATTGTGTTATTCATTATTTCTGTTAATATATTAACGTTCGTAATAACGTTTCGTTCATAATAATTCACCATCTTTCAAAAAGATGTTGCAAAAATTAGATTACGTGATCGTAAGTGCACTTACGTACATTGGTGAAAAATATAAGTAAACATTGATTATTTACGAACATTATCAAATATCAAATGCAACAATAGAAACCTTAATGTGCACAATTAATGAACACTTTATTGAGTTAGCCACAATATAAAATAAAGCATTAATATTTTTAAGATATTTGCACTATGTTTTATTTATGTATTTATGTATTGGTCAATTTGAAGCAGAATCATAAGGCTTATAATTTATTCTCGTAAGACTTGTGTAAAAATTTATGACTGGAATGTGTATAACTTTACAGATTACTTTTTGCTAGACGTAAGATTTACGAGAAATCATACTTACGATTGATCGCCTTAAGTTCATTCTACAATTGCATAAGCATTTTGTAAGTTGTAAGTGATTGCAATTGTAAGAATTGATCAATCACAGTCGAATATTCTCCTCATATTATTTGATCAATTCTTACGGCTACAATTACATAATTGAGGAGCAGACTTTCAAAATTTCATTGTTTTAGAGATGGCGCAGTGTTGAATGACTTATAAGTTACTCTGAGATGTTTGGAAAGTTTTTTTTTCATCGTTAATTTATATGCTGAAAAAACATAGACATTTCGAAGTGCATTATGTTTTTTAATTAGAAACAAAACAAAATGCATTTATGTAACATTTTTAGCAATTGTTAAAAGGGTATATAAGTCGGTTTCAAAAAATCTTTTTTTTTTAATACATCTTTCGACAGTTTGAACCTTCAAGAATATTGTCCTAAAACCGTTTTTTGAAATTCCAATAAGTAAAAAAGTTGCGTTTTGTCGAGCAGTGCACAGACGTGCGCTTGCCCTTTCTGAAGCGACTGTTGCCACCCAATAAATGGCAAGCCGAAGGTGAAACTGCAACGACAGAAAAATCATCAAATGGAAGCAAATCTTGAGCAGGAAGGTTCCCTTATGGCCCAGGAATTGACGATGACGTGTAGGTTGAATAAATTATAAGTTTTACAATAAAGTTGTTCGAAAATTTTAAACGCGTTTTTCTCAAAACCATATTTTTAAAGTCGGTTACAATGATAACTTGAAAATGGATCAACCGATTTGTCTTTTTTTTTGCTGAAAGCTTATAAAATTCGCTTGTTGTTGTCGTATCCAATTTTTAAAATTCTAATTCTTTCTATTTTTTTTTAAACAAACAAATGAAATTTTTTTATTGAAAATTGGCACTCTAACTTTAAAGGTTCGCTATTTTGTTTAAAATTCGAATTTTAAAAATCGGATACGTCAACGACAAGGAAATTTACTCTTCTTTAAGATGCCGTTTGATTTTTGTGTTTCAGATAAACGAGCAAGGAGAAATCATTGTAACCGCGAAATCATGTTTGGCGTGCACGACTGACTACACGATAGTGAAGTAGGGGGATTTTCCAATAAAATTATTCTAATAAAATCTGTATGAGAATTACAAAAGATGTACTTTATTATGCAAAAAATCCCATTTTTATAATGCCTCTTAATTAAAAAAAAAATTCATGAAAAATGCCTTTTTTTAGGCTCCAAACGTATATGCCCCCTTATAAGCAATTTTGTTTAATATTTCACTAATTGACATATTGTTTTCTGTGAAGTGCAGTTTTTTTGTGTGCGTAGTTTCTTTCTTTCTCATTTTCTGAAAATTACAAATTTTGGACAAAACGCATTTTGAAAGTCTGCTCCTCAATTGTAGAATGGGCTTTATAGTGTGCACAGTATCACAACTTCAGTCAAAAATTTTTACAAATCTTACAAAGAACAAGTAATAAATCTTACGATTCTGCTTAAAATTTACCCTTTAGTCATTTTTGTTCTTTTTTAAATTTATTATTTAATTTTGAAATGGTTATTTAAACAATTAATGTGCATGGCATATACTATGGTATAATTTAAAAAATGTCATTTATACAATGAACTGTAAAGATGATTCATGTGTATAAGTCAAATTATATAATATACATATATATGTTTATATACAAAAATATTTAAAAATATATATAAGTATTAAATTTTACATTGTCTCGTTCTGTGAAAATAATATATAATTAAGAACATCTTGAGATATAAATTTCTCAAAAGTATATAAAGTATTATTGTCTTGTTTATAAATACATCAAGTTATATATGGAAGACCTATTAAAAATTATGTTAAAAAGATTTATAATATTTTTTATATACCATTTCTTATGTAACAATATAGATATTATATCATTATTGTCATAACATACTTCGATTACATATTTGATCAAAAAATTAAATCGTTTCCATATAAATACCAAAATTTTAATATAATTGGAGATGTTTATACAAATTTGATTTGTAAACATACAAAATCTCTCTCCCACCTTCCTAGTTATGCGTAAATGAATTTATTGGATTAGGCACTAATGGATTGCAGTGTTAATGTTAAACAGCATATAAAATTAGTCGCTGGTCAGAAATAAATGATTATGACAATACACACAGTCTTATGTCAGTATTACAAATGTCACTCCCACTATTTACATCGAAATTTACCTTACGCATTGATTTGCTGGGCGATGCAGAAAGATTGCTCACGTATGTTAGTTTCAAATGAGATTTTACTCCTCTTAAAGAGCGATATTGGCTATTTGGCAATCGGCTGTTGGGATTGTTCCCAGTAAGATCAAGAATGGAAGGACCTAATGCTGCTCCAACCTGTATATTATCAATGTGTATGTGTACACACACACATACATACACACACACACACACACACACACACACACACACACACACACACACACACACACACACACACACACACACACACACACACACACACACACAAAAAGATATACTACATAAAAGATTGAATAGAAAGTGAAAGTAAAATATATTTACCGCTTCAAACACTGTCGGTGTATATTTCGGAGGAACAAATACGTGATTCATAGTTTTATTTACCCCATCGCGAATTCTGGCGGGTATTGTATTCACCAAACGACCAGAGTTATAATTACATTCTAGAGTATAGCTATGTATTAGACCAGTCATCTTATACACTGCTACACGCCCCGAACCTTCTCTGGACATACCGTCTCGTTTGTCTCTATAAGAGAACATACGTTCTCAACATTCTAATTTCCAACAATGTAAAATTGAATATATAATTTCTGATGGCAGTAAACATACTTACATGATATACATGTTGCGTTCCGCGAAATTGCACGACGTGAAATGAAAGTGTGGATTGTTAAGAGACATCAACTTGGGTAGCAGCATGCATGTGATAGTATCTTCTGGATCAGTAAAGTGGTTTCCATACATGAAAACGCCTTTCTTTGAAGCATGACCATGGAGATCAATATACAAATATAATCCAGAATTATCTGAAGATTTTGGTATTTCGCCCATATCGACGATTGTACATGTTAGTTTGTCACTTGTTTTAATTTCTGTAGTGTTATCATTTTTATTACTTTCTTTAGATAAACCCTCACTTTCATCTATAACAAAGGAAAAATTAAATGTGAAGATGCATAGCTGCATGTAAAAAATGACTGACTTATTAGCGGCTCGCAGGTTGATTCCAATCGTCACCACATATACTATATACATCGTATACGAAGAGAAAATCTCACCATATATATATCACATGTATAATTATAAATATAAATGAAATATTTAAATACATAAAAAATATTACTATCATTAAATGTTTGTATTGTGCAATCACACTTATCTGAAGTTATCATTAATCAACAAATACTAAAGAATAGTGTATTTTTTTTATAAAGAGAAATTACAAAATATATTATTGAGACTTGATATAAAGTAAATATCAGTACCAATAACTGCGGTGTCCAAATGTTCTAACATCGATAAATGTTTCTCGTTAGTTTCCAAAGCACATCTGTTTTTTTCATCTAATGACATAAATGTTACCTGTTAAAAAAATAATAACGTTATAAGATGTCCCGAAATTCGAGAGTAACATTGTAACAAAAATTTTGAAAAATTAAGTAGTAAAAAGTGTAAACAATATAATATATTATAAAATCGTATATGTGATAACACAAACTATAGAAATCAAAGCCTTAAACGGTCTAGCTGGATCTTAATGCTTCTTATGTGAATTTATATACTACGTGTGTAGTCCCCAGAAACGCGCGCCGAAATGATTTTTCGGTCTTGAAACGCTAACTCTATTAAACTACCGCAGTAATATCACGAGTTTAATTGACTAGTAATTTAACAAATTTTTGATGCTTATTCACATTTTCGAAACAATCTTAATAATGTTGAATGGCATATTAAAATCTGTAAATAATTAATTCTTATTGCGAAAAATATTACCTCGACCGGGAGTCGAACCCGGATCTCTTGCATTCCGTGCGAGTGTTCTAAGTCTTTAGACTACCGAGGCCTTAGTAATATTCTTCGCAATAATTGGAAATAATCAAGATCGTTTCGAATAAACATCAAAAATTTGTTAAATTGCTAGTCAATTTAACTCGTGATATTACTGCGGTAGTTTAATAGGGTTAGCGTTTCAAGACCGAAAAATCATTTCGGCACGCGTTTCTGGGACTACACACGTAGTATATAAATTCATATAAGAATCATACAAGCATTAAGATTCAGCTAGATCGTAAAAAGTGTAAGCCATTTTTTTCCATAAAATAAATTTTTAAGTATAAACGTTTAAAAGTTTGACTAATTATAAACACTGGTTAAAAAGTCATTTGTCTGTATGATAACGTACATACAGTGGTAATGTTTTGTTTAGTATCTAATATCATTGTACGCATATCACACGGACGAGTGACTTTTTAATCAACGCTTATGGTTAACCAAATTTTAAATGTTTTTACTTACAAAACTATTTTATGGAAAAAAAATGGCTTACACTATTATTTATTACTTAATTTTTCATGAAATTTCATGTTGCAATAATGTTACCCTCGAATTTCGGAACACCCTGTATATATAAAACAATAATATCGTAGTTTGATGTAATGCAAAATATAATATTAACAATTATTTTTTTAAATTTTTTGATCTAATTTACAAATATAAACAAACATTATCAGAAGAAATTCTGTAGGTTTTTGTCATACTTGTTGCAACAGTCTTGTAGTTGTGTCACGTACAGCGTTTGCTATCGACGCAGTTGAATTTATAATGCTTACATTACTGTTCACAATTTCTAAATTTATGTTTGATAGGTCGTCAGTTAGTTCGCTCGGTAGTTGATAAGAATTGTGATAATATCTACAAGAAAAGTATGTAAAATTTCACTGTGTAATATGCATTAAAATTGACTGCATAATATTTAAAATGCATATTATGAAGAGCATTGAAGTTTAATTAGAAATATAGGTGCTTATTAAGTACTTTATTAAGTTTCTTGCAGCATATATCGTGGGATGCTCTACTTCAGAAGGGCTTATATAAACTCTATTCAGATTTACTCCTTTAGTGTCCATTCGATAATGACCTTTAGCAACACCATCTGGATTGAGCATCGGTATCAATTTGAACACATATAAGCGACGTAAATTTATAGCAATCTGATCTTCCCGATTCAGTAAAAAATTGAGGAAACCGTTCAGTACAAAGCTAGATGGTGTTTCACCTGGATGAACTCTGGCGCTAATAAAAATTACCTAAATACAGACATAATTTTATACATACATATGTATATAAATCTATGTATATATACATATATATATATATATATATATATACAGGGTGTCCGAAAAGTGTGGAAACGGTCGAATATCTCGAGAAATACACATCGGATCAAAAATCTGAAAATATACGTATTCAATGTTTTCAAAAAAGCTATCTTTTGACATCTAACATAACTCCCACCCCCACCCGTTGTGGGTGATAGAGAAGGTAAGTTTAAAATTTTAAATGGGAACCCACATTTTTTATCGCAGATTTCGCTTCTTCAGAAAAAGTTACATAAATTTTACCTATTACAAACATTTTTTTGATGACAGATGGCGCTGTAATCAACGAAATTAAAAAATGAGTCTAAAACGTTTAAAATATCTCAAGAAATACTCAAAGGATCAAAAAAATAAAAATGTACATATTCAATGTTGTCAAGAAAGCTATCCATTGACACAAAAATTCTACCCCCCACCTACCATCCGCTGGGGGTGAAAGGGTAGGTAACTTTAAAATTTTAAATGAGAAAACCCCCATGTTTTATTGCAGATTTCGCTTCTGCAGAAAAAGTCGTATTAACCCTTTAACGCCGAGATGTGCTGAATTTCGACATGGATTTCAACCCCCAACAATTAGCAGAAAAGAACATAGACAAGTATCGGAAAGTCCATTTGTATGTAATAAGGTATCAGAAACGTGTTCCCGATAGTTAAACTTCGAAAAAGTGTACTGTATACAATTTTCATTTTTCGATTTTGAGTTCACAATAGCGCTTATAAGCTCAAAATTTTTCGAAATTTTACGTACGGTGAGTAAATTTGCAAAAAATATGCCCGAATTCGATTGAAACTAGTTACTCGGAGGTTTTTTGGGTGATTACGAATGTGAAGTCAGAATCCAAAAATTCAACTTGACGCACCTACAATGGCAGACCAAGTTTTCAAAATTTGAAGTAGCGTCCTTTGCCTTTGAATATTTCAAAGTTTCCCGATTCTCACCGCGAGGAGGTGGACGATTTTGAGAATCATTTTTTTGTTTTTATTTTTTCTTTTTTAGTTTTTTTAGAATGTTTTTAATTTTTTTGTTTTTTTTAAGTTTAATTTTTTTTATTTCCTTTACTCGATTTTTTAAAAATATGTACATACATATGTATGTATGTCAACTACTGAATGATGTTCAAATTGATGTCCCTCAGTAACTTGACAATATCCCAATCGTACATAGAAGTTATCATTAACTTTTTGCAGCGTTTCTCGAGTTATCGTATTAGAACATTGGATTATTCTTTCTTTTAACTCATCAATGTCTGTCGGCTTTGTTTCGTACACCTTGTTCTTCAAAAAACCCCAGTAAAAATTATCTAGAGTTAGATCAGGTGACCTTGGTGGCCACTTAATCGAACCCCTCCTACCAATCCAACGCCCGGGGAAAATGTTGTTCAATAGATTGCGTACAATCAAACCGAAATGACACGGAGCTCCATCCTGTTGAAACCAGACATTGTCAAACGCTATACCAGAAATATTTCGGATTGCCAGTATAATCTCGTTATTTAATAAATTAAAGTACCTCTCAGCTGTGAAATTATCTTCAAGAAAAAAAAGCCCAACAATTTGATTGCACAAAATTCCAGCCCAAACATTAATTTTCAGTGGATGTTGTGTGTGGATATCTCTCATCCAATGGGGATTTTCGTCTAACCAATATCGCATGTTGTGCCTATTAACTTCTCCATTCAATGAATCAAATAGCTTCATCGGAGAAGCATATCCAAAAAGGAAATGACTCATTTTCGTCACACCGTCTCATCATTTCCTCACAAAATTCTAATCTGCGATCGAAGTCGTCTTCCGAAAGTTCTTGCACATATTTTATCTTATAAGGATGGAACTTACTTGCTTTTAATACTTCATGGACAGACGATTTGCAGATACCAGTTTGTTGCGCAAGCTTTCTAACAGAAGTATGGGAGTTCTCAACGATACTTGCACAGACCGCTAAACTGTTGTCTTCGTTCGTGGCCGTTTTTGGTCGATCTTTGACAGAGCCAATATCATGAAACCGAGAAACAGTTTTACAAACAGTTGATTTGCAAATGGGTAGACGATCTGGATGGGAATCATTAAATGGGCGGGCGACTTGTTCGTATGATCTTTTTTTATCGCCGCATCCTCGCAGAATAAGGATTTCGATTCTTTCTTTTTCTGTCAAAGACATTATACATACATACATATGCCCAATTACAACGAGAGACAGAATACAGAATTTTAAAAAATGGAAGAAATGTTAAGCAAATAATGAAAAAAAAAACAGAAAAAATATTAAATAATTAATTAGAAGAAATTAAACTGATAGAAATGTTAAAAAGATAATTGTCATAAGATAAACGCAGTATGATCGCATTACTTGGTTCACACGCAATACAAATTTTGCTCGGTCTTACGCCTTATAATGTTCGTTAAATATGTACATCGAGAAAGCCGTAATCAGGGACAGCGAGAATGTTGCATTCTGGCGGCGAGATGTTGTATCAAATAGCCGTGAAACACTTGAAAGTGCAACCACACACGAAGAGAAATTTCTAATGTTTATTCTATGGGTCACCTTTATCGAAACGACACAAGGTTCTTTCGTACGCGAATCGTACTTTTTTAACAGGGCCGCATATTTCGTTTCCTCGAGACTCAGAAGATTTTCCGGTGGGCAAGTCGTAGCAATGAGTTCAATGAATGTTCCATACTACGTAATACATATATATTCATTAGAAATGTTTTTCTGTGCAAAGAGCCCTCCGCAGATGTGAAAATATCTTAGATGATAAAAGTCCCAATAATTTTATTGCACAAAATTCCAGCCTAAACATTAACTTTCTGTGTTTGAACTTTTATACATATGTATGTTTCCAAGCAAAATTTATATTGGAAATACATACTTATCTTTTTAATATTGCATATGTGTGTATGTATTTATACCAGTTTAAGTTCTTCTAACTAATTGTTTAATACTTCTTCCGTTTTCTTCTTACTATTTGCTTAAAAATTTCCATCTTTTTTATTCAGTATTCTGTCAGTCGTTGTAATTGGGCATAATGGCTTTGACAGAAAAAGAAAAAATCAAAATCGAAAAGTTACCCGCCCATCCACCTCCAGGGTGAGATATTTTAAACGTTTTAGAATCATTTTTTAATTTCACTGATTACAGCGCCATCTGTCATCAAAAAATGTTTGTAAAAGGTAAAATTTATGTAACTTTTTCTGAAGAAGCGAAAACTGCAATAAAAAATGGGGGTTCCCATTTAAAATTTTAAACTTACCCTCTCTTTCACCCACAGCGGGTGGGGGTGGGGGGACATGTTAGATGTCAAAAGATAGCTTTTTTGAAAACATTGAATACGTATATTTTCAGATTTCTGATCGGATGTGTATTTCTCGAGATATTCGACCGTTTCCA